TGAAAACGAATAGAGGAATACTCACGTATGCCTTAGTCTGACTCCAGCAAATATGCATTTTTACATAAACAATAGGTCAGAGAAAGCAATCAGATATGTATTTGTCTCAGGTGAGCAGAAAGATGACTTTGAGCTCTGGTCTTTGTCACCTGTGAAGATAAGCTGTCAACTTACATTGTCAGAGTGAAATTCAACAGAACTGTTTTAGTGTAAAGATCTTGAGATCCACAAGGAATTTCCCTGCGGGTAAATTGTGATGGAGATATGTAGCCTTTTTTTTTTCTTTGTTGCCTTTTTTTTTTCTTTTTTTTGAGACCTAGTCGCCCAGGCTGGAGGGCAGTGGTGCTATCTTGGCTCACTGCAACCTTCGCCTCCCGGATTTAAGCGATTCTCCAGCCTCAGTCACTTAAATAGCTGGGACTACAGGCACATGCCACCAGGCCTGGCTAATTTTTTTGTTTTTAGTAGAGATGGTGTTTCATTATGTTGGCCAGTCTGGTTTTGAACTCCTGACCTCAGGTGACACACCCCTCCTCAGTCTCTCAAAGTGCTGAGATTACAGAAGTGAGGCACTGCACCCGGCCTCTTTGTAGCTATATTATCTAGGAATAAAATGGGAGGCAGGATTGCCTGACACCCTTTGGCTTAGTGATTTGGGGGTCCCAAGATTTATTGTCCTTTGACATGTATCAATTATAGGAACTAAAGTACATAAACCCATAGTGTAAACATTTATATTATATGGCTAGGAGTTGGGCTATGTTTAATGATTGTTATATCTGTAGGAGGTAAAAGCTTTAAAATCCTCTTGTGTCTCTGTTTTTGCCTCTTCTCTTGCCTTTCAGCTTTCCTGAGTACTCCTTAGAGGATTGCATTTTGCAGTTCATTTTTTTCCTAATCCTCTTTTATTATACTGAAGCCTATTGATGTGGTAGTGAGGTGCAGAGGGTATAAAGCCTTCTATTATCTTATGTTAAATCTCAGTGTTTAATAAACTTTTCTCAACTGTGACCCTCACAATTGTTTCTTCAGCAGTATGGCTCTTTCGTCTTTGGTGAAATAGAAGCCTAGAGTTGATCTTTCTTATAAAAACATCTTTTGACATGTTTTACAAGGATTATTCTTTCCATTCTCCTGTCAGATACAAGAGGAAAAGTCCTCACTTTGAGAATCTGCTGATATTCCTTGATGTAGAAACCCACATAGGTTTGTTTGCTTTTTTTCACACTAATTTACAATCAGCCTCAACAATTTTTCAAAATTAGCACTTGAGTGTTCCAACTAATTTATGCCTCTAGTGGCTTTGGCTGTAGATAAGCAGTTCTCAGCTGTAAGTTTTTCCTGTTTCTTTGAATTTTCTAGTGGTGGTGTGCCCTGTAGCCTCCATTCTTTGACAAGGCAAATAAAATTTACTCATTTTTAGTTTGTTCCACTTTTTCTTGCTGTAGGGACAGAAATGATGATTAGCAAACTGTTTACATAACAGAGTTGGAATCACAAGTAGCATGTGTTTTTGCTTTTGATTTTGTTTTCTTATGTTCTGTTTTTCCTATCTGCTCTTTTGAAGCTATAATTTCACATTTGTTAGACCACTTGATAATTTCTACAAATCAGCGTGGTTATTTAATTTCAAAGATGTAAATTCAGAGATACATATTAGCAGTACCTGAAAACAAATGCCTCATATATTTTGTTTACTTTTGTAGTTGTTAACAGTGTTTGTGGTGGTCAAATCTAGAACCAATTATTCCGCCATGAGCAGAACATATTTCTGGTTGTTGTTGCAATGGTGTTCTCTTTCTAGCTTTTCTCACAGTATACATTTAGCCTATCTCTCTTTTCTCTATTGTACATAGAACCCAAGTGTAGGAGTGCCTGAGATCTTGTTTTCTATCTGTATTTTTTACTTAGTCGACTTTATCCATTAATCTAGATTTGAATTGAAATATGTATAATTCAGATTGTGAAATTTTCCCTCAAGCCATGATATTCTCTGAATTCCAAATTAGAAATACATGTATAGTTATAGAGGTTGTCTGTCTCTCCATTTTCTCAAACATGTATCAACAAATACTAGGAATTTTAGCTAGTATTATATATATCCTTATCTCTGCTAACTCCTCCTCCATATCTCTGGACTGGAAACAGACAACCTATAAAATGGGAGAAAATATTTGTGAAGTATGCATCCAACAAAAGACTAAAATCTAGAATCTGTAAAAAACTTAAGCAAATCCAAAGGAAAAATACAAATAACCCTATTAAAATGTGGGCAAAGAACATGAATAGATGCTTCTCAAAGGAAGACATACAAGCTGCCAACAAACATGTGAAAATGCTGAACAGGGCCGGGCACGGTGGCTCACGCCTGTAATCCCAGCACTTTGGGAGGCCGAGGCGGGTGGATCACGAGGTCAAGAGATTGAGACCATCCTGGTCAACATGGTGAAACCCCGTCTCTACTAAAACTACAAAAAATTAGCTGGGCATGGTGGCGCGTGCCTGTAATCCCAGCTACTCAGGAGGCTGAGGCAGGAGAATTGCCTGAACCCAGGAGGCGGAGGTTGCGGTGAGCCGAGATCGCGCCATTGCACTCCAGCCTGGGTAACATGAGTGAAACTCCATCTCAAAAAAAAAAAAAAAAAAAAAAAGAAAATGCTGAACATCACTAATCATCAGAGAAATGAAAATGAATACCCCGCAGAGATACCATATTACACCAGTAAGAATAACTATTGTTAAAAAAAGTCAAAAACAACATATGTTTACATGCACATGGAGAAAACGGAATGTTCATACACTACTGGTGGGAAAGTAAGCTACTTCACTCACTATGAAAAATAGTATATAGATATGACACAGAATTAAAAATAGAACCACCATTTGATCCAGCAATCCTGCAACTGGGTATCTAAGCAATGGAAAAGAATTCACTATATATAAAAGACATCTGCGCTTACATGTTTATCGCTGCACTATTTACCATAGCAAAGTTATGGAACCAACTTATGAGTCTACAAACAGTTAGTTAGGAAAAGAAAATGTGGTATATATACACAATGGAATACGATGTAGCCATACAGTAGAATAAAGTCATGTCTCTTACAGCAACATGGATGGAGCTGAAGGCCATCACCCTAAGAAAACTAACATAAAAAAGCAGAATATCAAATACACATGTTCTCACTTATAAGTAGAAGCTAAACAAATAATACACATGAACATAAAGAGGGACAAAATATATTCTGGAGACTCCAAAGGGATGAGAGTGGGAGAAGAGGGAAAGATAAAATATAACCTATTGAATACAATGTCCAATATTTAGTTAATGGGTACGCTAGAATCCCAACTCCCACCATTATACATGTAATACCTATGTAACAAGCACATGTATTCCCCCCGGAATCGAAGATAAAATTTAAAAAAAAACAAAACAAAACACAAAAACAATTCCAATTATTAAAAAAATACTTAGAAATAAAAAATTAACAAAACTAGTATACAAGTTTCTGAAAATGATAATATCGCTTGAAGAAACTAAAATAATATGTAAGTGAATGGCAAAATAAAATCACATGTTCATGGATTGGAAGAGTTGACATTATTAAGATGATAATATTCCCCAAATTGACCTAGTGTTTCAAGGCAATGTCTATCAAAATTCCATGTGACATTTGTGAAGGAATTGGTAAGTTGATCCTAAAATGCATATTGAATTGCAAGGGACCCAAAATGGCCAAAACAATCTTGCAAAGGAAGCACAAATAAGTACTCAAACTTCATAATTACAACGTCTATTACAGAGTAACAGAAATCAATGCAGTGTGTGCTACCAGCATGATGACAGACATATAGATCAATGGAATAGAACAGTGAGTCCAAAAATAAACCCAGGTGTCTATGGTCAACTGTTGCTTGAAAAGGGTACTAGCCATTCTGTGAGGGAAATATTATTATCTTCGACAAATGGTGCTAGAACAACTGAATAGAACTGCAGTCAAAAGGATGAAGTTGAAAACATAATGCACACCATAAATAAAAATTAGAAAAAACTAATTAATATTGAAAAGTTTAAAATACTTAAAAAGATAAATTTAAGAATCTTAAATTTTATAATGTATGCTTAGATATGACACAAAATATGAACGAAAAATGACAACGCAGAGAAACTTGACTACTTTAAAATTTAAAAGCTTTGTAATTTCAGGAACACTAACAAGAAAGTGAAAAGACAATATAAGAATAAAAGAGCATGTATGCACATAATGTATCTGATAAACACTAGACTCTTGAATGTGTAAAGAACAGTTACAATGTAGTAATCAAAAGACAACCTAATGAAAAAGGAGCAAAGGGTCTGCATAGACATTTTCCCCAAGAAGAGATTAGAATGGCCAAGAAGCACATTAAAAAGACTCTCAACATGGATACTTAAAGCTGTAGATCAAGACCACAATAAGATAACATTTTACACATACTAGAATGCCTAGAATCATCAAGTCAGATAATAGAATTTAGAAGCATGTGGAGAAGTAGGAACATTCCTACAGTGACTGTGGGAATGTAAAGTGTCACCACCACATTGGAACAAAGAACTTACATCAATTAAAATCAAATGATTTAACATGGGGTTGTCATATGACTCAGCAATTCTATTCCTAAATATATATCTAAAAAAGGTGACCACAGAATTCCAGGCAAAAGCATGTAGAATAGTGTTTCTCGCAGCTCTGTAGGTATGATTTGACTTCTTTGGCTTTGTATCTAAGTAGGGAGTACTAGTGGCTCAGTGGCTCTGCCCCTGTGAGGCTCAAGTGGCCCCACCCCTCTGATGTCAAGAGCTCCCACCCCTTTGATGCTTAAAAGGCCCCACCTCTCTGATGCTCAAGAGACCCCGCCCCTCTGAGTCTCAGGGGGAACAATTGTTGCCTTGGCTGGATTGTGACATAGAGGGCAATCACCCTTCATGTTGCCTCAGGAGGCCCTGGGCCTACAGAAAGGAGACAAGATTCAGAGGTTGAGGATGGGTTCTCCTTGTAGACTGAAGGCAGCCTACTAGTTCTACGTGGGTGATAACCTGAGAACTTCGGAACCCTGCAGCTTAAAAAATTCTAAAGGTGCCTGTCATCTCACAAAGTGATGTAAGTGTTCTTTCTTTATTTGGGGGTAGTCCAGAAGAGCATGCCACAGACATGTTTAATCCACACATATTAGATGTTCCTGCTGTAATTTTCGACAATGGTTCAGGACTCTGCAAAGCAGGCCTGTCTGGAGAGCTTGGGCCCCGCCATGTCATTAACTCTGTCTTGGGATATCCTAAATTCAACAAGCCTTCAGCAAGACCCAATCAGAAGTACTTAGTGGGGCAAGAAGCCCTGTACAAGTATGAGGCCTTATATTTGCACTACCCCATTGAGCGTGGACTGGTAACAGGATGGGATGACATGGAGACACTCTGGAAACATCTCTTTGAGTGGGAGCTGCGAGTAAAGCCTAGCCAACAGCCTGTACTTATGACCGAGCCCTCTTTGAACCCTAGAGCAATTCGAGAAAAGGTTGCAGAAATTATGTTTGAGAACTTCAGTGTGCCTGCTTTTTACCTGTCTAACCATGCAGTGGCAGCGCTCTATGCCTCTGCCTGTGTCACAGGCCTGGTGGTAGACAGTGGTGATGGGGTCACTTGCACTGTCCCCGTCTATGAGGGTTACTCCCTGCCTCACGCAGTCACCAAACTCTATATGGCAGGGAGGGACATCACAGAGCACCTCACCCGGCTCCTCTTTGCTGGCGGGTGTAACTTCCCTTGCATCCTTAACAAGGCCGTGGTAAATAACATCAAAGAGAAGCTGTGCTATATCGCCTTTGAGCCAGAGGAAGAGCTACGCAAGTGTCGGGGAAAGGTCCTGGGGGCATACAGACTGCCAGATGGACATGTCATCAACTTTGGGGAGGAGCTGTACCAAGTGCCTGAGGTTCTTTTTGCGCCTGACCAGCTGGGCATCCACAGCCCAGGACTCTCAAAAATGGTCTCCAGCAGCATCATGAAATGTGACACTGACATCCAGAAGAATCTTTTTGCAGAAATTGTGCTCTCTGGGGGCACCACTCTCTTCCCTGGGCTGGAGGAAAGGCTCATGAAAGAACTGGAGCAGCTGGCTTCCAAAGGTACTCCCATCAAGATCACTGCTTCTCCTGATAGATGCTTCTCTGCATGGATTGGTGCATCCATCATGACCTCTATGAGCAGTTTCAGGCCGATGTGGGTCACCTCTGTGGATTTCAAGGAGTATGGGACATCTGTGGTTCAAAGAAAGTGCTTTTAAAGATCCTTGAGCAGAGGGGACATCTTGAAGTGCCAGATTAGAGGAGTCCCAGTGGGAGGTGGCACTTTCTTCTGGGCTTCAGCATGATGCTCAATAAAAGTTTCATCATTTCAAGTTTCAGTTTACTCGTAGTATCACTATAATATATGAATATATGTCATGAATCTTTAGGTTGCTCTTTACTCTCTTCTCTCCCATAGACCTCTTAAGATATTTTTCTCCTAAGAAAACCTGGGTTCTATGTTGATGTTATGTTCATATACAGGATTTATAGCAAAAGGTGCCTGGGAGTCATACCTAGGAACTTGATTTGGTATGATCCCGAGATTCTTTAAATTAAGTTATTATCTTAGGTGGTTCTGATAGGCCCAGTTCCCAGGAGACTAAATCACGAAGAAAAGTGTGGGAAAAGGAAGGAAACAAAGCAGAACCAGAAACCTCCACTAGTCTAAGGGTTCAAGTCATTTTACCTGGTTTGTACTTTAGTTAGTGCAGCAAGGTTCTTGCTCTGCTGTTATGAGATCAAAACACTAATTAGAATGGAAAAACAGCTGGGCACAGAAATCACCGTTTTCTAAGGCTCTCTAAGCTCAGGGTCCTTGTTCCCAGTTGGAGCATTAAGAATCGGTACTTCTAATTTATTGTTGTGTATTTTTACCACTTTTAATCTCAAGGCTATATATAGCATCATTTTGTTATGGATAAAACACTGGAAACAGTTAATAGTTATTGATAAAATGATCATCGAATAAATTATGCATACAGAAATACTTCTCATTAAGCTAATACATATATAAATAAACGGGATTTTATATGATTATAAGCATTTCAAGAAAAGTACGGAAGTAAATTCACCACATACTTTACACAATTTGAAGCATGGAATGAGAGGTAATGCAGTTGGAAGAAAAGGGTATAACAAATTTTTAAAAAGAAAGGATTCTATTATAAACTTCAGCCTGAATGAAATAAAACCATTCACTTAAAAAAATTATATTTTTCACATGTCTTTCCATCTCCACTTTCAGAGATATCACATCGCTACCTAAACACAACCATGAAAATTGTCAAGCCCTATAATTACTATAAGTCAGTTCTTTTCATCTTTATATTTATTTCAGAGAGTTGGCTTAATAGCAAACTACTTTTTACAGGTAACTTATCAAAACCACAAAGAAACAAGATAGTGGAATAACACCTTCAAATTAATCTAGAAAAACAGTACTGTCAATGTAGTATTATATGCTCAGGAAGCCATTACAAGAAAGATGGTAATAAAATAAGAGACATCTTTGAATAATAACTAAAAATACTTACCGTCAGCAGGCTATTACCACAGATAGGTTTATAAGATTTACTTAAGACATAGAAATAACCCCAGAATCACCAAATATCATGTTAGAAAAAATAATGAAGTTTTAAAATGCCGAAAATGGGGGTAAATTAAAAAATATTGATGGCATAAATTTATAGTAATAAAATAGACAATAAATCTTCTGTACTACAAACATAGCCACAAATCATGAATACTGGTTTGAATCTAAAATATTTAAATATATTTGCATTATACAGAAAGAAAAGTACTACTTAAACTTAGAATCTTTAAGTTGAAACTGAAGAAATTCTAACTGTAAAAACCTTGAAAATTAACAGAAATACTTAACCCTTACATTTCTTAATAATTTAAATAACTTAAATAATTGACTTGACCCTTACATTAATTTAAATTCTGATTGTAAAAACCTTAAACATTAAGTTAATTTTCAAATAATGTAAAGATCAAAAGACACTTTTAAATAGAATTAGACAAAAAAAGAAATTGTAATGGATTTACATAAAAAAATGGATGAAAACAAAATACTAGCTGTCAAGATAATGGAATACAGGTAAAACTGAAATTACTAAGAAATGTATAGTCTTCAGTGGTTTATAAGTAAGTAAAGAAATGCTGCATATAAAAATGCTAAGTACCCAATTGCAGAATTTAAAAAGGCAAACAGAATTAACGTAGACAAATAACCAGGAAGTAAAAAAGCAGGACGTGATAATGAGCTATCACAGAAAGATGAGGAGCATAAACACAGAACAATTTGTCCTTTATAAAGATAAAATAAATGGACATACTCAAGAAATCACTGAAGACAGAAGCAATGAAAAGTATAATTAGGAAAGAATAAATCCAACTGTCATTACTCACAAATTACAGAATAATCTTCCAAAAACCTAAAGTAGGAATGAGAAAGATGACTGACTGGAAGCAGCTATTTTGTGTTGTTCTCACAGAGAAGTGACAGAGTGAGGAGTAAAGCTCTTTAAGTTGATCATCCAGGAGGCCACATCAGAATTAATTAAGGAAACAATAGTAACCCACAGAGAGCAGAGAGAAAAGAGGCAGGACAGCCTCCCACTGGGACTGGCATGGAGCCAGGGGAGGCTTCCTATCATGGGGAAAAGGTAAATGAGCAAAAGTCCTTGGGGATCCACCCTTCTGCCATTGACCTTAGCAACCTTGGGCACAAGAGATCCTTCCTGACCCCCTATACCTCCAGACTAACACAGAGATTTGCCTCAAGCACCCATGAAGCTCCATGATCCTTGGATCCCTGAACACCCCAGCATTAGCTGCTATAGCGCTGCTATCGAGGGAGGCCAGTCCCTCTCACATGCCCTAAGGATAGAGTCTGCATCCACAGTGCTGAGGAGCAAACTGCAGACTGGCCTGGGACCCGGGTGCAGCCTCTCCACCTCTGCCTGAGTACTCCACTTGGGGGCAGCTCTGCAATTATCTCGGATGGAGCTCCCAGGTGTAATTAGCATACCTTCTGTGATTGCTATTGTCAAGGTCCCTCCCTACCCTTTCTCTTCTCAGTCTCAGGAGGGAGCAAAAACTATAGAACTGTCGTGTGCCTCCAACATGCCATAGCTCTCATACAGAAAGGTGGCCTTACTATTTTCTTCATGAGTCCCTGCCCCATCTGCTTCTCATCAAACATGGCCTTCTGGCTGGGAGCCACAGTGCAGCTGCCCCACCCCCAACCAACCATTTTAGTCAGCAGTGGCTCTTCTTTTCTCTGGGGTGGAGTTCCCACGGGCCACTGAAGGTCCATCTGCTACTGCCACCTCTGTGGTACCTGCTCTTGATGTCTGAAGGTTGGGGAGAGAGCAAAGAGCCTGATTGCTTTTCTCACACCTTCATAATACTGCAGCCACACTACAGAGAGGAGGCTAGACTGTCTTCTCCTGGAGACTTGACTTCACCTGTTCTTCACAAGGCAGGGCCCCTGGCTTGGGCCTACATCACAGCCACTCTACTCCTAGATGATCACTTTGATCAGCCATGGCTCTTTGTTTCTCTGAGGTGGAGCTCCCAAAGACAACTGAGAGTCTCTGCCATTGCCACCACCATGATCCCTGCCTCTTCTGTCCACCAAGTTGTGGATGGAACAAAAAGCCTGTGCTCACTCCAGGGCTGCGGTGCACAGCTCAGGAGTGCTGAACTGAGGTCTGTGGCTACCACTTGAGTGGAGAGGAGTCCACATTCTCAAAGTACTAAGAGGGGTGAGTTGCACAAGTTCATGGGCTGCTGTGGAAGTACGGTATGACAACCTCCACAGGGCCAGTACAGAGGGGTGTGACCTATTTCCCTGACATGGCCTCTGCCCGAGGGATCCCCACAGGCTGGAACACCTAAACAAAAACTAATGCAGTGCCAGTGCTTAGAGGGGCTTCCCCAAGGCCCCGGAATGGACCTGGTGAAGGGGTCACCTTTCTTCTCACTGTACCACAGATAACTAAAAATTAAAGAAAATACAGTAACAGTAACACCAGGGAGCACCTTGGGGTGGTTACAGAACAGGCACTACTGCTCTGGTCACATGAATGCCTTCTCAACATGGAGACTGCATGAGGGCGTCTTAAAAAGGGCTTGTGCAAAGACCTCTGAGAAGGGAGGCGACCTCTGCTCACAAGATCTGGGAGGGTCTTTGCAGATGGGAGCTGGCAAAGACAGAAAAGCTTTGCAAGGCAGAGATCACGGAACACCTCAGGCTCTGCCTAGGCTCTCCGAATATGGAGTGATTTTAATTGCTCTCTGTCCTCAGTGCTTGGGAGATAAAAGCCCCTTGATGCATTGGGTGTGGTCAGACCTGGCTTGATGCAGCCGCACCCTGATAACAATCAGTGATAAACTCAGAGCAGTGGTTTAGCATGTCTTAGAAGGATCTCAAGTGCTCTCTGCTCGGCTATCTTACCTACCCCTTCTCCCTCCCCTTCCATGCCCATAAGATCAATGAGATTATGCACAAAATCAAAGTGTTTGGATCCCAGAGCTCGGCGTTTCCCATGCTCGCATTGGTCCCCTGGACTCAGGCTGTAAATTCTCCTCTTGTCTCTGTATTTCCTTTTCTCAATCCCTTGTCACCACTGGGACTAAGGGCACCCACGTATGAGGTTGAGCTGGTTCCTAACATAAGATTATGTGAAGAGACCTAGTCTATGGCTCATTGGCATTACTGGGAAAGTAGGAGGAAGAACAAACAACTTGAAAAATATATTTGAGGACATACTCTATGAAAACTTCACTAGAGAATTTAACACGCATTTTCTAGTTTGTGTGCACAGAATTGTTCATAGCATTCTCTGAGGATTTTTTTGTAATGTCATTGTCAGTTATATCATCTTAGTCATTTCTGATTATACTTATTTCAAGCTTCTCCATTTACACTGGAGATGACATAAATGAATATAAAAGCATTCCATGCTTCTGAATAAGAACAAATATTGTTAAAATGGCCATACACACCAAAGCAATCTCCAGATTTAATGCTCTTCCTATAAAACTTAAAATATTTTTCTTCATGTAATTAGAAAACCTATTCTAAAATTTACGTGGAACCAAATAAGAGCCCAAATGGCCAAAGAAATTCTAAGCAAAAAGAAAAATACAGCTGCAGTTATCACACTACCTAAGTTTAAACTATATTATGAACCCAAAACAGCATGGTACTGCTACAAAAATAGACACATAGACCAATGGAACACAAGAGAAAACTCATATATAAAGCTGCACACTTACAACCATCTGATAGTCTACAAGACTGACAAAGACTAGCAAT